TCTTCTACAAGATATAAATAGCTTTTCTTCTTCTTATTTTTTTTTTAAGTCAAGAGATATACAGTATATGGTTTATGTTGATAATAAATTCTTAAAACATTTCATACAACTTCACGAAGCGGAGAAGGCGAATTCCGACAAAGAGGACACGAACCATGAATCTTAAGCCACACATCTATACATTCCACATGGTAACAATGGTTACATTCCGGTATGCACCTCACGGTCTCTTTGCTCACATACTCCGATAAACAAATGGAACAAACAATATCGTTAGTTCCCGGTAATCTTCTACTCTCACCTAACTCCATTTTCTTGTATGATTCTATTGTAGACTCGTCAAGACCCGTCGTGGCTACTACAACCTCGTTTGGTTGCAGCGTGAAAGTCGCGGCGATAGCCACGTTTTGTCGTATCCGGGAAGCAAATCTCTTGGAGGTGCAAACTCCTATAGCAATACAAGTAGCAAAGATTGTAGCCGGTCCGAATATGGTCAGACCTACGATTTTAAGAGCTTGTAACCATGTGCTGTGATCGCCTGCCAAATCACGTTTTCTTAGATCAAATTTAATTAACAAACCATGTAGAATCGGCCATAAGTTTTATAGACCCCAAAAAAAGGACTAATTACGCATTTTCATTAATAAAAAAAATGGACGTTCTATAAACACAATCGGCATTATTTTTAGAGGAGGACCACAAATTAATTGGGTAAGGCATTCTAGGTGTGATGTGAAAATGTTGGATTTGATCTTTTGAGAAAACAAAAAATGTAATTAATCAATAGTCAATGGCTTAATGTCAAATGTAATAGCCACTAGATTCTTTTTCCTAGTTGTTTAATGGCCACTAAATCCAAAGAACCAATGATTCCTTGGATTTGAAGTTTTCCACAAAAGAAAACTTATTACCATTAATAAGAGGAGAAATAAATTGGAGTAATTCGTACCGGAATTTTCAAAAGGGAAGCATTTGACATCAAGAGAAGCATTGCTTATGAATCCACATCTCAAATGATTCCTCTCACAATCACTACAACTCGGAGAATCCCATTTAAGCCAAAGGTCTTGATCGTTGACATCAGTCGAGAATCTTGATTTCTTGGCAACAACCGGCCGAGATACCGGAAGAGCTAATGTCTTGATGATCTGACAAGAAGGAAGCATAGATTTCGCGAGATCCAAACTAGTCGTAGCAAAGAACGAGGATGTAGAATTGCCTAGACATGAGATGGAATCGAACCCGGACGATTTAGCAACCTCATTAGGACAGCTCAAGAACGTGTAGTTGACAAGGTAGAGAGCAGAGAAAGGAGATACCGAAATATCGAAGTTCAAAAGATTTCTTGCCAAGCAATTCTCAGGGTCGTAGAGACGAATATGTTGGCTTATATAGTCGATTTCTCGGACAAAAAATGCTCCGGTATTAGGAAGCTTGAGAGCTGTCTTATAACTAGTTGTGCAGACGAGATCGAATCTTGGGTGGCCACAAAACTCAGGCTGATTCCAAAGTAGCCAGAATGGAAAACGGACATGGACTTCATCGCGATCACATGAGGAAGAAAAGCATTGGTTCAGGTG